AAATGGCACCAAACACGTCAAGAGTACTCAAGACTGAAACTAAGAGACGTTTAAATAATTTGAAATGTGCGTATTTTGCTTTTCTGTGCATTTTCTTGATGCATAGAATGATCCAATGCTTCCCTGGCTAAAGATGATGTACAGTCAATTCCCAGAACAGAATCTTCCAAATGTCATATGTGATGGTAAAACTATTCATGCAGTTGTGGGGGAGAGAAGGCACTTATTCCTCAAACAAAGATCTGTCTACTAAATATGATCTATTAATATGTTATGAAGAAGAATACCACTTAATACAAAATTGCAGTTGAATTTGATTGAAATGCTTTTGATTTATTCATTGTCACATGTACCAAAGTAGAGTGAAAAGCTTTGTTTACGAGCAGTACAGGCAGATCATGGTAAGCAAGGACATACAGATTACAGGGTGAAAAAGAAACTTCGACATAGACATACAGGTTACATCGCACAGGGCATGCGCTAAGCAAGATCAACATTGGCAAGATCAGCATTATTTGAAGTTAGAGAGCCCATTCATCAGTCTGATAACAGTCAGGAAGTAGCTGTTCCTGAACCTGCTGATGCTTGTATTTGAGCTTCGGTATTTTCTGCCTGACGGAAGAAGTTGTAGGATAGCATTACCATGAATGTCCATGAGGAAAACTGAATGTAAAATGATTCAAGGGTCTAAAGCAGCAACTCTGAATGGAGATGTTTTGATATAAGCAGGTAGCAAAATTATCCAAGTTAACATAGAAATGCATGAAAGTATTGCAAGTCTTTGGAGGTCTTGGGGCTCATTTATATTTAAATGTATTTAATCTGCTGTTGTTTGTCTGCAAAAGCTTCATTTATCCTATATTAGAGGTCACTTAGCTCAGCTGACTGGGCAGTTGGTTTGCAATGCAGAGTGATGCCAACAGTACAGGATTAATTCCTGCACTGGCTGAGGTTACCTTCTTATGAAGAAGGGTCCCGACCTGAAACGTCAACTAGCCTATCCCACCTCTCCTTATAACTCAAACCCTCCATTCCTGGCAACATCCTGATAAATCTCTTGTCCTTCTTGGTGCTTTGCCAGCTGGAAGATGAGAAGTCAGATGGGGCGCTTAACACAGATAAAGAATTCTACTTTAACATTGAGTATGGGAGGAAGGTGTATGGTAGTTAGCCGATTGAAAAGTGACAATTAAGCAGCTAAGTGAAGTTCTGTTTCTCAAAACTTTCAACCTGTGCCTCAGTTGATAACCCTCTCATTTCTGAATCACAAGGTTCTGGTGTTTCAGTTCTCCCTGCAGAGACCTGGGCACATAAATCTATGCTGGTCCTCTACTGCATTGCTGGTGGCGTGCTGCAGTGTCAGAGGTGTTGTACTTTGGACAAGAAATTAACCAGAAACACTGTCTGCCCCCTCAGGTGGACATAAAAGTTCCTGTGGCACTTTTTCAAAGGACAGTTGTGGAGGTATACCTGGAATTCTGGCCAATATTTATCTGTCAGCCAACATGCCTAAAAACAGACGACTTGTTCAATTTCACATTTGGGTTTCTGGGAGCTTAATGTATATAAATTTGCTTCAATAGTTCCTATGTTGCGACCATGACTACACTTCACAAAAGTATTTCATTGGCTGTAAAGCATCTTGGGGCATCCTGTGCTCATGAAATGAGCTGTATAAATGTCATCTTTCTTTGCAAATGAGGACTGCATTGTCAAGTTAAAAGCAGACGAAAAGAGAAAAGAAAAGCTCAACACTGTTTGTATTTATCACCTGAACAAGCTACAGTTATTTCCACTTGAGGGTATCACACATCTGGCACATTTCACATTTACAAATGGTTCCAGCTCCACATGTTTAAATGGGTTTGTGATACATCTCATTCTTTATGATTATAAATCTCATTCCTAACAGTGATCTGATCTCTGGAGCTATGTAATGGAAGGTATTATAAAATGAAATAAAATTCCACAGCAATGAGACATAATAAATGTCACTCTGGATTGAGTTTTACAGTTTTCTGTATATTTTGAATAATGTCACATGTTTAAAGGCGAATCATTATAAAATTGAAAAGTAATACTGCACAGCACTATCTTTTGCATGATTCATCTTGATGCTGTCAAGTTCCTGTTTATCTGATAATGGAATATCTCAAGAATGGATGTATTTTTCCAGCAGGATTGGAGCAGAAAATCGCTAGTCAAGTTTCTTTTTAAATCTCAGCCCCATATTTGAGCCAATTATTACATTGTTGAGCTACATGATTACTATAAAATTATGGAGATTGTGTGTGTTGCTTAGGCTGCAGGCCCAGTTAGAAAGTGCACAGCCTTGGAAGGATGGCTTCCACTATAGGAGAGGACCACTATGGCACCTTCAACTTGAGATGCTTTCATGGTTCAAACAAAAACCAAACTGTGGCCTGACAGCTTCCTGATCACAGTTAAGGAGAGGGGGAAAGCTCTGCCTCTTCCACTATCCACTAGGCAAGTTAGCCGCAAGTGCAAACCTGTCGAGCAGCAGACCTGACACCCTTCCATACTGCCTTCGCCTCCATCTTGTCATCAAAACCATCTCCGCAGAACTGGTATGGTCTATCCTGCGTGTCCCAATAAAACATACAAAACTTTACTCTTTAAAGTTTTGGCAAAGATCTGTAGCTCAGGTTGTAGATGAGGTTTTTGTCTTGCTCACCGAGCTGGCTTGTTTTTGAATAAAAACAAGCCAGCTCGGCGAGCAAGTCAACAACCTCAAACTTTACTCTCGTTTGATATAATGGCAAATAAATCCCTCAATTTGTTGCTGTCTGGACCCATTCCTCTCTGTTATTATGACTGATGTGAGGAGTGCACTGTTTTCCATGACTTCACTGATCACAGTATAAATGGTTTTACCTGCGTCCTGATACGACCAATCTTATTCTTTCTCTGTTTTCAAGTAAAAATTCCTACAATGAGGTTTCTTTAATGAGCACTGAATTATTGATTTTTTACAAGGCAAAATGTTTTCAGTGAAGATGCAAAGCTGGTTTCACCTAGTTTATAGTGTGAAAAATAACTGTTTACTTGCCTAAATAATTACAAATGCACCCGCACACACACAGGGTAGAAAGAATTAGTAGCTTTCTTTCTGAAGAGATTCACTTTTGGGAATTAAAAAATACTTCTGGTCAATGAGTCATATTGGTGAAAATACAAAGGACAAGGTTGAAGGTGCGCACGTAGTGGTTAGTCTAACATTCTGGTGGCACAGTGGCTGAGTGGTTAGCACTGCTGCCTCATGGCGCCAGGAACCCTGGTTCGATTCCACCCTCGGGCGACTGTCTGTTTGGAGTTTGCATATTCTCTCCATGTCTGCGTGGGTTTCCTCCGAGTGCTCCGGTTTCCTTCCACAGTCCAAAGATGTGCAGGCTAGGTGGATTGCCCTTGGGAAAGGCAGGAATAGGATAGGGGGATGAGTCAGGGTGGGATGCTGTTCGGACTGGCAGTGTGGACTCAATGGGTTGAATAGCCTGGTTCCAGACTGTATGAATTCTACCAGCTGTAGATGGGTATCACCAAAGTGTGTCTCTGGGTTTTTTGGCAGATATAGGCTAGTCAGGAATTATAGTAACAAGAGGTTTTCCAGTCACTTTTCAAGAGGACAGTTAAGTTTCATAACTGCATTCACCACAAAGATGCTCCAGGAACAAGACACACATGATGAGCAGCTTGGCCTGAAGCAAACCTCCAACTCCCCATCAACTGAAAATCATAAACCATCTCAAAGCCTGCAAAACACCATTCAAACAAAACAGCCGTAAAACCAATCATAAAAGCAACCATGTAGTTTCCTTGAGGCAAGTTCATGCAAACAATTATCAGCAATTATCTGGTATAATATCATTTCTAAGAAATGCCTTGTTTTATAAAAAGTCTCAATATGTTTTCATTGCCCTCTGAAAAGAACACTGCTCCAGGTAGCCACAGTCTTTCAAACTCAAGTTCACAAAAACTAATTAGATGTGGATAAATCATAATACAGTACTAATTCCAGAATTAAGAGCCTAACGATGACCAGGAACAATTGTCAATTGTTGGAAAAATCCCATCTGGCTTGCTAATGTCCTTCAGGGAGGAAATCAGGCTTCCTTACCTGGTCTGGCCTACATGTGACTCCAGACCCAAAGCAATGTGGCTGACTCTTAACTGTCCTCCGGGTAATTAGGGATGGGTAATAAATGCTGGCCTAGCCAGTGGTGCCCACATCCCATGAATAAATAAAAAAACTTACGTCAATATTAGCTTTTGTGCAACCTACGTCTGTCTACATGTCACCTTCTGCATATTCTCTGATGTTTCCATCACGTCTTATGTACAATCCAATCCTCTCTGGATTAATTTTTGTGTAACCCATCTCAATTCTGTTTCCTATCAAGTGAACTCTTGTCTATGTGTTATCTTCCATATTACACGTTAATCTCTTTATTATCTTTGTAATGCATTCCTGTCTCCATGTTATTCTATTCTTGCAGTTCAGTCTTGGAAAAGTAGGTGTACTATTGCTTCTGATTCAGAAAGTTTAAGCACCTCTCCAAAGAAGTGCACACATAATCCAGAAGGATACTTGAGTGAAGTATTGGGAGAGTGCTGCATTTTCAGAGCTTTTTTTTTGGATGTGATGTTTAACCTTGGTTCTGTTAACTAACTTTCTGGTGGATTTAATTGATCACCTATCCATTTGAAGAAGAGCTTAACCATAAACAAGCACCAGTGAAAAGCAGATTATTTGGAGTATCGTCAATATTTATCTCATTGCTAGGACTTGGTTATCTGTGGCTAGGACTTTGCTGCAACATTCCCTAAGTGCATTTGTAAAGTATTTAACATCTTTAAATTGCTTTAATGTATCTCTAAGATTTAAGGTGTACTTTATAAGTACAAGTTCTTTCCTAAGAATCCACTGAAATAAACTGTAATTACTGCACCTTTGTCAATAACTTGGCTTCTTTCTTACACAGACTGACCTTGGTAACCTGTACTTAAATGCTGGCGTCAAGAATTTGGGCACTGTATTCCTCATGACAGATGCTCAAGTGGCTGATGAAAAGTTTTTAGTTCTCGTGAATGACCTCCTTGCATCAGGTAAGGCCTGTGTTCATTCTAAGGCAGGTATGTTGCCTTTTAAAATGCTCTTAACCTTCGAGACATGTTTTTTCCATTTTGCGCTACCACATAGCAGATTTCCAAATGAGAATTAGCACCTTTGTTTTAAGTGCCCGATGCAACATTAATACTCATCTTCTTTCTTGGTAAATTAATGTGTTTATTTAACACAACATAGAAAAAGACCCTAAGATTCAAAAGTAGGCCACTTGGCCCTCTCTGTGATTCACTCGGATCATGATTGATCAAATGATTCTCAACTCCACTTCCCTGCCTTATCACCGTAATCGTTGATTCCAAAATGGTTAGAAACCTGTCTATCTCACCCATGAATGTACTGAATGACCTAGCTTTGACAACCCAATGATTATGATACTCCCACTTTAAACAAAAGTAACATGAATCAGCAAGTCGAGATAACACCGTGTGGAGCTGGAGGAACACAGCAGGCCAGGCAGCATTAGAGGAACAGGAAAGCT